AACAACATCTCAGCCTTGGCCATATTGATCATCATAACTGGTCTACTCTGGCCTCCAATCGGGAGGTCTGGAGACACACCATCTATAACGCTGCCGCTTCCTTTGAGAAAGCACACAGGATCACTCTCGAGGAGAAAAGACAACGCAGAAAGAATCGTGTCTCGTGGAATATACCTCCTAAGGAGTCTTTCTGCTGTGCCTTTTGCAACCGGACATGCCTGTCTCGTATTGGCCTTATTAGCCACCAGCGTGCTTGTAACAAATGTGGATAGAGCCTTTCCCAAATCTTCGTTCGCGAAGCCTAGCCATGAGAGTAGGTCTATCACAGCATTATTACTTAGATACTTGCACACACAAAATAATCTCGAAATGTCATTTTGTTTTTATTTTCCATTTAGAAGAAATTATACTTAAAGACAGGTCTTCACATGTTTTAAGAACATTTCCTCAGAAAAAGATTATACATTAGTATATTCATCTGTCAACCCATTCAACCTGGAATAAGATAAACAGAGAATCTGCCTCCCAGGCAAGGCAGTTAAGTCTGCTTTGTACTTTTAAATACAATAGAAAAAAGTTAAAAAGTTAAAAAGTTGGCCTTAAAGGAGAAAGCTTATACAGATTGATTACTTCGAAATTTCTCTGTGATCTAACCAAGCCAATTTCTCACTAGTACACCAAATGTGACAGCCGCAAACCTTTCAAGAAGAGCACAAGTCTCTCTGAATTTTTTCAGTATGGGTTCAGAAAAAAACACAGGATGATGTAACAGAAAAGGTTATGCTGATCTCTGGAGATCCCAAGATTGCTCTCTTCCAAAATTCATAGATTCATAGCATGGTTTAGGCTGGAAGGGACCTCAAAGATCATTTCCTTCCAACTGCCTCTGCCAGGGGCAGGGACACCTTCCACTTGACCAGGTCGCTCAAAGCCCCTTGAACACTTCCAGGGGTGGGGCACCCACAACTTCCCTGGGCAACCTGTTCCAGTGCCTCACTACCTGCTCAGTAAAGAATTTCTTCCTAACATCTGATCTAAAGCTACCCTCTTTCAGTTTAAATCCATTCCCCCTTGTTCTATCACTATGTGCCCTTGTACAAGACCCTCTTCAGCTCTCCTGTACCCTTAAGTACTAGAAGGCAGTAATAATGTTTCCTCTCTCTAAAATTTTTTCCATTATATCCAATAATATTTTTTTTTTCAGAATTTCATCACATAAAAAATTAGAGGTGGAATTCTATGACCAGACAAGCTTTTTTTTTTTTTTTCTTTTTGAAGTTACAATTGTTAGTACAAATTTAATCTGCAAAATTGCAGTATTCCCAGGCCATAAAATTAAAAAAGCTCATAAATTCTCAAGTCGAAGGTGGCCTCATATACTTGAACACTGAGTATTATCTTAAGAGTTTTAACTAGCCCAAGACACAGGACAATGATATGGCATTAGAAAAGAAAAATATGTTTGTGAAGTCTAGGAAAGGATCATAGAATCACAGAATCATAGAATCAGTGGGGTTGGAAAGGACCTCTGAGATCATCGAATCCAACCCCTGATCCACTACCACCGTGGTTACTAGACCATGGCACTAAGTGCCACATCCAGAATAAAACCTTCCCTTTAAGTGCAAGAACAAGTATGACCAGAAGAGGTGGAAAAGTAATGACTGGGAAAAGCTCACATAAATGCAATTTTGAAGTTCAAATGCCACTGCTTTTTGTTGCATTTCATAGACGTTCAGTCACTAAGGATTACCTTAAACAAATACAACCACGACAAACTGTTTTAAGACCTTCACTGAGCAGTGTACCATAAGATGCAGCTATCATCAAACCCAGTTAGTATGCTTTTCAGTCAGACCTGGATGACTATCCTTAGATCTACATTCTTCCTACATAATGTGAAAAGGAGTTGAGGAGAAGCAGAGGAAATGATGGGACTTGCCCCAAGCGGGAAAATTTATTTTCATGTCATGTGTCAGAAGTTATCTGGGACCTCAGCTGTCACTGTCCCACAATATGCAGAATTAAATCTGTATTTTACTACAGCACATCCTTGCCATAATTCCTGGCCCCTTAGGGATAGGTCTCCCCATTCCTCATATAATGAATTTTGAGCAGTGCCTTTGCCCAGAGAGAGCCTTGTCAATCTGCTACCTACTCCAAGTAGTTTATTCTTTTGTTGTTTCTTGTTTTTTAATTTCTTTACAGCATGATGACACCATTTGAGCAAGGAATGGAAATCAATCTATTTGTATACAAAGCCTGAGCATGAAGAGGAAATTACAAAGCCTTTTGGAATGGGTTTGGGGCAGAGATGCCTCACTTTTAAGGTCTCACTGAGTTTCAGACATGAAAAGTGGGTGGCTCAGCCCTTGCAGGCTGTGGTGGTTGGAGTGCTTGAAAAGAGAGGCCAAGCACATTAGTGATTTTCACTGCCCACAACCACAGCATCAGCCTGGCAGGCATTGCTAGAGAAGGCCCAGGACACGAGCTGTCCAAAAGCAGGGTTAGGTAAAGCTGCTCCTCCACAGCCACTCTGGTTATCAGTTCTAGTGCTTGACCACCCACTCAGTATAAAAACTTTCCTTTTGTTTTTGTGGAATTGCCTGCATTTCAATGTGCGCCCACAGCCTCTTGTTCTCTACTGGGCACCATCGAGAATAGGTTGGGTCCATCTTCTTTGCTCCCCCACCAGGTAGTTAAAGACATGGAGAGGAAGCCTGAGTGCTGCTCCGCTTGCCCTTGCAAGCTGATATTACTCTACACTCAGCAGCTCAGACTTAAGAGATGCCTGAGTTTTGAGACAGGCCCATAACTTCAGTCACCATCAGTGTCTCCATTCAGAGACAAGTTAGGTATACTGGGAAAGAAGAGTAGGATATGCTCCAAAATTTCATAGGTAAATTGGTGTTTGAAATAAAATAGTTTATCTTATTCACACAGCACATATTATAAAATCACTAGATACAAGAACAGAAGACACCTAAACTTTTATTGCCTTGTCAGATGTAAGAATTTATTTATGTCATTTATTAAGTGTTTAAATTTACACCAGAAGACAATTCTTCAACTTCAGGTCAAATTGTTCATCAGTAAGCCCTACATCAGAATATTCTTGAGACTTCCAAGGACAATTTTTACTAGACAGCTTAGAACAGCAGAATTTCATAAATAATGGCCAACCTCACAAGCCTGAGGGTCACTACCTCATCATTATTTCTTTGCTGAGCATAACCCACAAAACAGAGGAAGTCTTAAAGCCATTTAAATCCCCAAACACTACCACTACTGCACTCAGAGCATTTAAATCATGTTGCCCTGCATTAATAACACCAAACATTATAACTAGTCAAAGATTTACCACATCTTCCCCTACCAAAATGACATCTTTTTTTTTTAAACATTACAAGACCAACTTGTACTCAGAACATTAAAGCAACTGCAAAATACACAATCATCCATTTGGCTTGGTTTTACAATAAAAATAATGTCAGTAATCTATTAGTTAACTTCATCTCTTTTGTTGTGCTCCTTTCCCCTCCCTTCTCACTTAGGAAACTACATTAGACCAGGCAGTTAAATTGTAGCACTGAGGTAGCATATTTCAACTGAACAGAATAATAGGTCTGCTACTGTGCCTCCTCTCCTTTAAAGCACAAAAAAAAAAAATCCCCACAGTTTTTTAACTTCTTTGGAGAAGACAGGCATATAGCTCATTTGCAACAGACACTGCATTTTGAATTCAAAGCACAAACAGTCTCTGAATGGTAGATACATGTAAAATGAATGAGAAAATATACAAGGAATTATGTCAGTTTTTTTAGAACTAGGGTTACATTTTAGCTCCATGGCACCTGTTGTTCCCTATTTGAAAATGCATCTTTACAGTCCCTGAAATTTAATTTCAAAGACTAGGATCCTGAAAAGGGGCAGTTGTGCCTCTGTTCATCTAAATGATTTTCACGCTATCTGCAGGAAGGGCCAAATAATTGCAACAAAACCAGAAAAAAAAATCAAACAGACCTAATATAAAGTCAATAGGAATTAACAACATGAGTATACTAAAAGGATCAAAGTTAAGGCAAAAGATATAACCTGAATGAACTGAAGATATAAAGATATATGCCTGAATGAACTGAGAGCACTTTCTGTTTATTTATAAGTTAAAGCTGGGATAGCCTATCAAATTAAAAAAAAAAAAAAATCACTGCAGGAGTAGAAACTCAGTTTCCTAACAAATTGATATTAACAGAATCTCAGCTTTGCCCTTTTAGCTACAAGCTTTAAAAGACTAAGCTGAAGTCAAACTGTACTCGAGACTGCAGCCTTAAAATCTAGACTATTTACTACAATAACTCTCACAGATACACCTGTGTATTCAGCGGGAATAATAAACAATGATCCTAAAGAACAGTAGTAATTTCCTGTTCTGCATGCCATGCTGGTACACATAGCCTTGTAAAACTCTGTTGCATGGTATACAATCCTCACCCAGCCCCAGGCTGGATCTTTGAATTCCCCCCTCCATCTTTCACATAGAAAGTAAAAATTTTACTGCAATTAAAACCCCTTAAATCAGCTACCTGCATAAGGGAAACTGGGTTTTAACAAGCTGGAAAGCAGACTGAGAATGTAACTAAGCTGACTGCTAAATTAACTCTTAAAAAAACACCTAAACAGCTGAGGGAAAATGTGTAAGTTATAATGATCAATTCAAGCTGCTTATGGAAGCATTAATGTAAATCATTCAAGTAATCCAAGATGCACTCCAACATCTGTTATTAAAAATTTAAGGCTTTTATGAACACCGTCTTACATACAAAAGGAGTAATAAACAGAACAAAACTGTTTACAGTAAATACAAACATCTGAAAAATCTCTGAAACCTGTTTATACAAATACTAATAAATTCTTTAATATTTTATACAACTAGAAGGTGCACAGATTGGCATTCAAGCAGTCAATGCTGGCAAACATCTGTCAGACAATAACATGATTTACTCGGATAACAATATAGTTTAAAATGCCATAAATTAAAAAATAAGTTAGTTCACATTTTTTCCCCAGCTTTTATGTACATCTTAAATCTTTAACGAGATCTTGTAGCCTTCTTCAGAAGCTCGAGGTCTTTCTGTCGGCTTTTGATTGCTCTGGCACAGCCATACTCTTCCAGTTGTAAAGGGATATACTTTTCTATCTGAACGAGCCCATGCCCAGCAGGACCAGTAAACAGCTTAATCCAGGATGGCTTAAAGCTTCCTCTGAAGCCCAGGAAGGCCAGGCTTCCTGTGACAAAAACAGCTCAGCATTACTAAACCAGCCAAGCTCATTGAAGCACAATACACAACCGGTTAGGAAGAAAAGGGAATGTTCCTTCAAAATTCTCTCCCCCACATTATTCAGAACATTAATCCACTCTCAGCTACACACATACCTCACAAGGAAATACTGATTTGCAATTTCCTTTTTCAATATACAATATGAAATAGTCTGAAATCTTAATTTGAAAACACAGCTAATTGGACAGCTAGAAAACCTGCTTTCTGAGACACAACTTGTGCCAAGCCTCTGAATGGATGAGAACTACCCCATGTGGCTTTATAAAGTCATCATCCCTCAAAATACCAAGAGCTGTTCATTTCTAGCTTCAAATTTTGTTACAACAGGAAACACTAGCCAGGTACAGGAGATTGCTTAAAAACAGATTTGCTGGGTGAGGCACAAAATACAGGCTTCACGAAAAAACTCCAGGACTCTTTTTGTATAATCCACAGGCACAAAGAACTGCCACAGTAATTTCTCTGTTTCTGCAGAAGCCCACACCAGTGCAAACTGGCAACCACTCACCGCCAGCTGCATCCTTTACACACACCCCATGAGAAACCCACCACGCCAACATAAACACACAGACCAAGGTGGTGTCAAAGAAAATGTGCAAAATTTCCACCAACCGTTACTCTGAAGATAAGGTGGTTTCGCTGTCCCCAGGGACATTAAGGCTTCTGCTAAATTATTAGGAATTTCTAAATCACCTCTTGTGCTCAGTAGAACAATAGACCTGCAGTAAAAACAGTACAGAGACAGCAGCTGTTACAAACACAATATTTTTTTAATATTCTGCTACATGTCTTTACAGCTAGCTGGTCTCATAGTCCACTTCTTTAAGAGTACTCATGACATGGAAACAGTCAACCCTTTCTGAAAGCAGTACTAAAATTTTTCATTTTTAAACTGACCTTAAAATGTAATTTCAAAATCACTGTAAAGTGGTATTTAAACAGAGTTTAATATTTTGTATCAAAAAATTAAGTTTAGATATTAATCCCTAATTAGCATATTAGAATGGTGATTTTTTTTCTGACACCAACTCTATCTTTCTTTAATGATAAGTAATTTTCTCCCTATGGGGAGAGAACAATATGATATCTTTCACATAGTCCTTGCCAGTGTCCTCATTAAACAAAAAGTTATTGTTTTACACAAAGAAGCATTATTACATGATGTTTAGTTAAGAAAATAAGGTGAAAGACAGGCAATACCACAAAATCAAAAATGTTCAAAATTTGCTTTATTTTCTTAAATAAGGCTAAACTGTCTGTTAACACGGTCCTGTGTTTGCCCTTTTCCCTCAACCTAGATATCTCTTTTGCTCACTTTCAGTGCTCCTGTATAAACACCATTATGTTAAATCCTCATCAGAGAACGGAGCTACAGCGTACAGAGCATATTGGAAATAAATGGTCATTATGCATACCTTTGTGGAATTCCAGATTTTAAATATCCACCTACATGCTTAATGTCTATTCCAGAAAATAATTTGTTTCCCAACACTGTGCCAGCGCAGGCATCTATTATAACAGTAAGTATACCATTATCCTTGAAGGAAAACATGGTGTCATTGACCTGAATGGGAGGAAAAACAGAGAGAAAATAACGTTTTTCTTCCTTTCTTAAAGTTAATATGAATCAAAGAGCAATTCTACTACATTCAGTGTTAATGTTATTCTAGTTTAGACACAGTGGTATACTCATCATCATCATCATGGCTGGGCTTTGCGAATGAAGATCTGGGAAGGGCTCTGCCCATGTTTGTTACAAGCACACTGGTGGCTAAAAAGGCCAATACGAGATAGGCACGTCTGGTTGCAAAAGGCACAGCAGAAAGACTCCTTAGGTGATATATTCTGCAAGACACGATTCTGTGTTGTCTTTTCTCCTTGAGAGTGATCCTGTGTGCATTCTCAGAAGCATCAGCAGCGTTACAGATGGTGTGTCTCCAGGCCTCCCGACTGGAGGCCAGAGTAGACCAGTTATGTTGATCAATATGGCCAAGGCTGAGATGTTGTTTCAGGGAGTCCTTGTATCTTCTCTTTGGGGCTCCTCTCACGCGGCAACCAGTGGCAAGTTCGCCATAAAGCAGGATCTTAGGGAGGCGGTGGTCCTTCATCCTGGAGATGTGCCCTGCCCAGCACAGCTGTGTTCTCAGTAACATGGCCTCAATACTCGTGACTGCTGGCTGTTCTAGAACAGATGTATTGGTCACATAATCTGACCAGTGCATGTTTAGGATTGTGCGGAGACAGCGTTGATGGAAGTGTTCTAGGAGAAGCAGGTGGTGGCGGTAGATGACCCATGATTCAGATCCATATAGGAGAGCAGACAGCACTGTGGCTCTGGAAACACTGATCTTTGTACTTTCCTTCAGGTGTTTACAGAGGTATACTAATTTCCTTACAAATACTTGTTTTCCCTAACATCTCTTCAATTTTCTCCTTGAGAGGACACTGCCATTAGGATTTCTAAAATTACACAGGAGCCTTAAGTCCCTGGCTTCTAAAGAGATATTGCATACTTCGGGTGACTTGATACCTGCCTCCATCACTGCTCCTGCTTCAGGAAGATAAAATTCAGATTCTGAACCACCTGGACTTCTGGACAATAGTGCAGTTAATTGTTCCCTTCAACAGTCCAGTCACTAACTAGTGAGTGCGCTTACTGCTCTGGATATGGCAAACACATTCCTGTAGAAGTTTGCAGTTGCTAAGGTTATGCTACTCACATGACATTTGTCTGGCTGGATAATTCAACCAAGCCAATGTACTGACACTGAAGAACGAAAGGCACATGCACACTAAGCTCTGTGGTGCAAGGGTGTCTGCAAATGCTATTTCAGTATCATGTGCAAGTCTCCTTCAGCATGAGAATGGAAAAGTCAAATTAAACTACTTTTTATACAGTATTGCATTCCCTAGGCTTATTGGGGCCACACTAGGACAAATACAGAAACCTCTATAGATTCTTTCGTAATTGTCATTTTGAGGACTTTAGCAAAGCTTAGTGGCTTGCATGACCCATCCTATTAACTTGCTAATCTGTTAGCACAAGGAAAATTTCAACAACATGGATTTAACAAACAGGTTGTTAGGTTGTGTGTTTCATGTATTTCCAAAAAAAGCCAAAAATGTATACTCACACAGACTTAAATACAAAACTTCAGATTTTAAACTCTCCCTTATTGGAACATTGCTCTCTCCAGAAGAAAAGGATTCAAATACAAAATGGAGCTTTGAAGCCTCGCTTTCTGAGGTAAAACATCAACTTTTTGAGTGTTCGGTTTTTAAACAATGAACCATCTTTTCATTCAAGTGAAGAAAACTGAGGTAAGCATTATGTAGAGCTATACAACTGTTATAATACAAACTGCTAAAATTATATTTAAGAAGAAAACCATAAAGAATACTTACAGATATAAATGCTTGCTGACCCCTGCTTGATTCTTTTGCATCACATGAATTAATCTGCACAAGGAGGTAGCTTTTGTGAGGATCACTGGTGAATACCATCTAGATATCAAACAAACCAGTTAATTACTGATGTGTCTTCAACATTTTATCATGCCAGTTTATGACAGCCCATGCTCGAAAGCAGAAGAATCCATACGTCAGTGGCATTATTTATGGTACTAGTAATCCAATTTCAAGTTCATGCTAATAAGCAGAGATCCAAAAATAGAGGAGGAAGGTTGGTCATAGATTTTTGCAGCAAACCTATTCTACATCCTCCAAGGAGCACAGACAATACTGAAGTGCAAGGCATCAGATCTACCTATGCTTCTCCTCTGTAGCACTGAGTGAGAGGTGAACAAAAGACAAAAAGAACAAAAACTACGATGGACTTCCCACCTTCTGGCATACAGAGATTAATAGTGTGACCAGTGCAAAGTGGTAAATTCAGTACTCTGTGATGAAAGACTGAAATTTGGACTAAAATTGAGTAGAGAGAATCTACAGTTCACGAAAAGTTTTATTTTATTTTACCTGAGTTGTGCCACAACTTGTACATGGTACAGTAGTTTTTGCTGGCATCTGCTTTATGATAGTTGGTCCTTGGTAGTACTTTGGGTAAGCTTTTGCCATGCAGTTACTTATCCCTTTTGCTGAATCTTTGGTCACAATCTTGATCCTTTCACATCCCTGAGATGAGCAATAACTGTGACCATCCCTATTATATTTGGCTTGAAGAAATAAAAACAGTAATCTAACAAAAAGAGGAAAAATAATCTAAATTAACCAGTGGAAATAGAGGTATTTATTTTAAACCTTAACAGCTATATTTCGTAATTTTCAGAAACACAGAAACTACAGTATTCACTTCTGCACTGCTATCCAAACTTTTTCAAAGTATTTACAGTTTACTAGCTTCGGAAGTCTCCAATGATATACCTGAATTTTCCAACAATTAGAGACATCAATATGAATGCAGATGCTTTGCAAAGAAGCAAAGTCCTCAAATCAGTGGCTTGCAGGATATAAAAACCAAACTGCAGAGCATAAATATTTTCTTTGATCATAACATCTTTAGAGACATGCAGCAGTAATTGCTTGGATATTCAGCTTCATGTACCAGCACTGGACAATGAAACTGTGCTATTGCAAGTGCCTAGAAATGCAATTTAGGGCGTAGTAGTCAAGTATGTTCACGGTACACAGAGACTGGCAGTTCTTTTATTACATATTCAAGTTACCACTGCAGGTCTTAAACAAAGAACATAAATGTCTTTTCAAAAACTACATTCATCTGCATATGTATTAAACACAAATTAGCAGACAAGAACAAAATAAATGAGAGAACAAATTAAAAGTCTAAGATCGATGTTTGCAAAACACACAAGTGGTGTACATAGGACTGCATTTATTGAAAGCTGACCATATCTTAAACCTCTCAGAAGGATCTCAGTGGCCACTGTCAGAAGTACTTTTGAAAGAGAGACTAGGGTTTTTTATGTTCTTTTGAGACAGCTGAAAACAGATTAGGATTTTCAGAAATATAGTTTTTAAATGTTCTTGCAAGAGAAAGCTTCTTGGAAATTTCTAGAATGTTCAATTTAACAAGAAGGCACTAAGAAATTAGCTCCTGAAAGGCATTGCTCTGCAGCACACCAGATACCACATTTTCCCCAGACACAGGGTAGGAAATATCACTGGCAACTGCAGTTCTCTTGAAAAGTATTTCAATGACAATGACTGCACTTTGGAGATGTAAAGACATATAAAGAGAAATATTCTTTCAAAGAGGCTTTAGGCTCCATCACTACAGCTTCCCTCTTACACAGGTGTCTCGACCAGTTGCTTTTAACACTATCAAACTGGACATTTTAAGGTTAAACAACATCTTCTAGTAGGGTCAAGTTGCAAGGAGTTACCCAGTACTGTTGTCAAAGTAAAACTTCTTGTCTGATCGATTCTTTTCAAGCTCCGTAATTGAAGAGACAGGCACGTAGCGCTCTACTTTGCTTGACAGAGCAGACGACCGCCTCTGAAAGGTTTCCAAAACTATAACAAAATCTGTATTTGGTTGGTAACAAAGACCAACACGAATCCAGTCATTCCTAAAAACAAAACATATGAATCATTGTAGGAACAGTTTAGATGTCAAAACACAGCAAACAGACCGTTTCAAAAACAAGCAACAGGAAAACAAAAGTTCCCAAACCCTCAACCAGAAGATCTTTCTTCCCCTCTCTACTTTAAGTCTTCACCATCCCTCGAGGTTTTAAGGATGAGACTGGATGTAGCACTTAGTGCCATGGTCTAGTAACCGCAGTGGTAGTGGATCAAAGGTTGGATCTGATGGTCTCAGAGGTCTTTTCCAACCCGGGTGATTCTATGATTCTTTCCCTCTATGCACAGTCTTTCATTAAACGTTATAGTAACTCTGATTCTCTCAGAACCTTTTTTTTATACTTCATAGACATTTAGTAAGTTTATCTGACAACAACATCAAGTATGATAAACTATTCAACCCCAATTCTGCTCAATGTCACTATTTGTACATTTTCTTCTCTAAAGGTTTTTTCTTAAAGACAGCATACTGGACAAATATTTAACTTCAGGTGGAGGTCTACTGCTTATTCTCTTGCTTTTCATACTTTAGTATTTGTAATTAAGAAAAAAACCCTAACCTCAGCTTCAGTCTTCTTCATGGTTGCAAACTCTCACACACATTAAATGTGCCTTTTTGATCACAGACATGAAAAGAAGTAAACATACTTGTTGAAGTTAATGAGATATAGATAGGTGACGTTTGGAGCTTTTCCATTCCAATGTATTGTGTAGCCCTTCTGGAGCATCACTACTGGCTGATATTGCTGAAAGGCAGCTCTCTGATTAATACCCCGAAGAACCATGGGATTGGCTGGGTACTCATCTCGGATGATAGTCATGGAAAGATTCTGTCCATTCCAGGTTTGGACATAAACCTGTATGATATTAAAGAGGATGAAAAGAAAGTGGAAGATTTGGACACTGTGCAAAAGGAAATGAAATAGCAAAGCACAATCAGTACATTATTGACCAAAATGCTACAACTTGATACTCTGAGTTATGTAATACACAAATATCTCCTGAATAAAAGTACTATTTGAAAAACTATTGTAGATTTTGTCCATTTTACAGACAAAAAAGGGGAGGGAGGAGAAAAAAATAATAAAAAAAAAAACCAGCTATGATACTTGACCACACAGACCAGGAACCAGAATGGGAATCAAACCTGTGAGAGCTGTATTCGAAGATGGTATTTAACATCTCCAGAAAACAAATCAACCAAATAAACCCTTAAAATCCACTCTGTGAAAAAAAAGCAGACAGAACTCGAGTGGAAGACAACAGCTCCAATGCAAAAATGTTTTAGCCTATAGGGCTGCAACATATAACTCTAGGCAAGCATCCACATTTACTGTTACCTTGCAGCGTCTAATAATGTACTCCCAGTCCGCATGCTGAAGGGAACATGACACAAGACACAATTGGCCAAAAAGTGTAATATACATAAAAGAACTTCAAAAAGCAAAAAAAAATTTGAAATCTAAAGATATGGAATTTTGTATTTCTTGTGACCTGTGACCCCACAAGTAGTTCATGTTGTAGATTTGCCCCAAACAGAAAGCCAAGAGTACTAGCCTGTGCATAGTTCCCACTGCAAACTACTCCATTCCATTTTGTAATATTAATGCATTTGGGGTGTTGAATCAAGTAATTATCCATTCTGCCCACATAGGTATCCTTGTAGTCAGTCACTGAACCATCTAGATCATGAAATATTGAGTTCTTGTCACCATCCAGATCTCCTTCTTCAAACCAGGGACCAGGCTTTCCAAAGAAGGCTTTCAAAGAAACCTGACAACAACAATTAAAATTTTAATTTTTTTTCCTCAGGTGAAGCACAGACTAACACTTGCACATCTGCAGAAACACAGAACTTTGACAGTTTATTAAAAACCTTATGGCAAAGACAGTGGAATCTTGCAAACCAGACACACTTTTTTAGTAATGGGCTCAGGCCAGTTCTTGCTTCTGAACAGTGTTAATATTTGCAACTGAAAATTCATTACTAAGGATATACCTAATCTTACAAAATCTTACGAAAACCTCCCTTTCAGCTTTATCAGAAAGTCATGAATCATTTATTATAATGTATCATTCCTCTGTTTGTGTTGGGTTTTTTTTTTGCTCAGGAGACAATACACCCTGGGTGACTGCCAACCAAGAGAGAAACTCTAGAGTAGGCATGCATGGAAAAGACGACCTAGGGCCCTTGTCTGCTTATTTTAAATAGAAGAAAACGATTTACAATACTAAAGGAAAATCTGTGATAAACTTACGTTTGGATCAAACTTCACAAGAGAAATATTATTTTTTGGTGTCATCTGCCATGGATTTTTCATCAAGAACCCAACTGCACTGGTAAATCTGTCTGGAGTTGGCACAAAGTTTTTGAACGTGCACTTAGTAAGGTGAATAGGTCCATCATAAATTTGAAAGCCTCTGATTGGAAATGTCCTGTAGATGCAAGCAAATATTTATACCATCCTGTAACAAAAACCATGATATGCCTGAATCTGTGTCATAAATACATTTCCTCTCAGAGGAATCACTCTGAGAATGACTCACAAGATAGATCTTAGTAAAGGAAATATGGTTTCTGCACTTCTCTAATGAACCAAAAAATCTCCCACTCTTAAATTTTCCTGTTAGAAGAGCTATCACTGCCCACTGGCAATTGTGCCTCTTTTCCAATATGAAAAATACAGCAGGAAAATAATACCAGCTGCTCTTTGACCGATCATGGCAACTGGGAGAAGGGACTGTAGATTGCAGGAAAGGAAATGTCACTTCTAACTTGAAGGAACATGCAGAGAATGGCAGACTGGTAAGCCTCAGCTTGATCCCCAAGAAGATGTTGGAGCAGCTAATCCTGGAAACTATTTTCAGTCATCAGAAGTAATCAGCATGGATTCACCAAGGAGAAGTCATGTCTGACCACCTTGAAAATTGGTACTGGCCTAGTAGCTGGGGGTAGAGCAGTGGACAAGGTTTACCAAAACTGCAGTAAGACTTTTGACATTATCAAAGATCCTGTAAGATCCTCATGAAGTACAGGCTGTACGAGAGGACAGTTAGATGGACTGAAAACCAGCTGAATGGTTGGCACAAAGTCTACTTGGAGGCGTACTGGTGGTGTAACCCAGAGGTTAGTACTGTTCAGCATCTTCATTAGTGATCTGCATGATTAGTCTAAGTATAGTCTCATCAAGTCTGCAGAGGGCACAAAGCTGAGGGAAGCAGCTGATACACCGGAGGGTTGTGTTGCTATCCAGATAGACCCCAACAGGTGAAGAAATGGGCAGATGGGAACCTCATGAAGTCCAACACAGGGAAGTGCAAAGTCCTGCACCTTTGAAGTAACACCTTTTGTGCCAATGAAAACCAAGTTGACCATAAGCCAAACAACGTACCCTTGCCACAAAGAGGCAAAAGGCATCCTGGGCTGCACTGGATTACCAACAAACTGGGGGTAGTAATCCTTCCCATCTGTTCAGCACTGGTGAAGCAACACCTACTTTTTCCCAGTACAAAACAGATACGGAGATACTGGAGAGTCCAACAAAGGACCATAAAGATGACAAGTCCCTGGAGTATCTCCCATAGGAGGAAACATTGGGAGACCTCACACTGTTCAGCCTGGAGCAGAGAAAGCTTAGGCAGGGATCTCAAGGTATAATATCATCTGAAGGGAGAGTGCAAAGAAGATGGAGCCAGACTCCTCACTGTGACAGGACCAAAGGCAATGGGCATAAGATGAGAAAAAGGAGGTTCTTCCTAAACACCAGGAGAAACTTTCTCACTGTGAGTTTGACTGAGCACAGGCAGAAGTTGCCCAGGGAAGTTGTGGAGAATCTATCCTTGGGATGGCTTAAAGCCACCTGAACATGGCCCTGGAACACCAACTCTAGGTGACACTTTTTGAGCAAGGCAGTTGGACAAGATGACCTCCAGATGTCCCTTCCAACCTCAAATGTTCTGTGATTCCCCTCAACTAGACTGAATGCCTCATCTATTACTGTGACATTAACTTCTTTCTTTTAAATGGCCAAGCAGCAAAAAACCAGGGTGGCCTAAACTTAACTCACCCTTCATCCTGGTTTTGACCAAGAACATGAAGGGGTGGAGCCTGGAGCTCTGTGGGCATGGCCAAGAGCTATTCAATACCATCTTTCATCATGGCTGGGGAGCAAGGGAAAGGGACTCTCCCTTGTTACCCTTTTTCCAGGGAACGAGGGGCAAACAGAGCAGTGGCATAATGGTGCGGGTGGCATAACAATGGTCCCCACCAGAGAGTTTGTCCACTATTGTTTTTCATTGTCTTGGGCTTGAGGGAAAGACATAGCCATGGACGGTCTGTCAGCAAGTTTGTTCTTTGTCTTGGGAGCTGCATGGCATGGGTCAGGTCAGTCAGTGAGCACTTTTTTTTTCTGCATATAAATCACCCTCTTCTTGTATACTTTTGTTATTAATATTGCTGCTTTTCCTGTTATTTTTCTTATCTCATTTCTGTTTCCAGTAAATTGTTCTTATCTCAGTTCAGAATCTCTCCCTTTTGTCTCTCTCACCTTTGGGGGTGAGAGTGTGGGAGTAGCCTCATGGGATGTAATTTCCAGATGGACTTAAACCTCAACAGTCTTCTTTTCTATTCTAAGTACTCGACCCTACATTAAACAAGCCTCAGAGCAGGTCAATGAGAAAAAAAAAAAAAAGATCATAGTCATAGACTGTGATTTGTCAGATTGCAGTCTCTAGCCCCAAACTGACCTTTGAAATTCTTTTACCTGAAAGCTTTTTTCCTTCTCTCTTCCAGACCCAAATGTTTTTTAAGACAAAGATTTCATTTAAGTACCATAACTTAACTTGCTACAGAAAAGTGACCTGAAGTAGCATCAGATAAAACTTCCTCAGCAAAAAGGTGAGTGACACAGTAGCACACAAAGCATTATAAAGAAAACGAAACCATCACCTTCAATGGAGTCTTTATCTCTCACAGCTCAACCAAGAAGTGTGTAGAGAGAATGTTTCTTGTATTTCTACTTCCTTCACTCATGACATACTTACCGATTTCTAGGCAGAGTGCGTGTCTTGTTGTCTATTCCTCCAGTTCCTGCATATTTATTTTGGCCACCTTGAAACCCATAATTCTTGCTCTCACCTATGAACAGTGACTCTGATACCTCCTGGCTGGCACCTTCATCATTCGGGAAGCTCCCATCACTATCAAGGCAACATCAGAGGTCAGTCTTTAGCCAAGACTCTCCACCAGATGAATACACCAAGGGACAGTCCTACTTTTACTTCAGTAACAGTCCTCCTAGACTTAATTATTAAATCTGTGTATTATAAATGAATCATAATAGAGCTCACTCTCTGAAATGTTCAGCAGAGAGCTGAACATTAAAAATTCTAACTCCCTTCCTAATGTAGCACTCTTCTTTGGCAATCCTAAAACCACTTTGTCATAACCTAAATGGCAGCAATTTTGGTTTAATACCTAAGTAAGTTACTTGGGTTTTTTTCATTAGAAAGAGACTCTACGCCCTCTAAATGGTCATCCCCTTTCTTTCCATTATTCACTTTCAATTGTTCAGAAGGTAAATAAAAAAACCGCCTAAAGGAATCATACAAAACCAAGAATACCTGGATAAACATAGCCCTTCTGGTGAAGAGGCAGCCAACTCTGGTGTAAACCAAGTACAGGTTAAATTAAAGTGCAAGCTTTGGTAGCTATGTCAATTTACAGCCTCTATAACTTCATCTGTACCAATGGAAATAGAACCAGGTCCAGAAATAAAACTACAGCCTTATGAAAGTATACCTATTAATTTTAATAGATGTAGATTTTCTAAGGTTCTGTGCAAGAAAATACAGAAACAAAGTACTCACCTAGCAAACGTCAAACCTATTCCATTGTCAGCAAACCTAAAAGAAAGTTCAAAACATCAGGGTTTATTTCTGGATTACCCTACAACAAGCTACCGTAAGAGGATATCCTGCTATGGACTGAAAAAAACCCTGAATTTTTCTCTTAGTGGAACTTAGAACAACCACACACCTAACTCTTCTAAAAATGCTGTTGTTAAAAGCTAATCAAATAATTTGCTACACATTTTAAGCAGGACATGAGACCTTCAGGGAACTCATAAATACCTCAGCCTAAATTCACGGTCTCTACAGCTTTTAGAGTTCTTTTTATTACATGGTTTCTTTTTGTTGCAGCTTAAGGCAGGTTCTCATCTAATCACATATAAACTTGTATATTTCAAATATGGTGTGAAAGTTGGTCATGATATCGAGAAGTTCCTCAAATTAACCAGCAACCCTCCTAACAACCCTGTTGTAATGTAATTTACATAAGCTCTGTAACATCATGCAGCCGTTTGCTTCCAAATACCTACCCTGAGTTTTGAATGAGGATATCCCCTCCTCTGACCCAGGCCCCATGATCATTGTTTTTGAAAGAGATTAAACTGTCAATCAGGGCAGCAACTCGAGGCTTTTCAGGGTCTGCATCTTGATGAGGTCGAAACCTGGGAGAGATGAAAATCCAAACATTCAGCAGAAGAAAACTGTTTGTTTCACGTGTCATACATGTTGGGACAAGGTAAGCCTTAAAGATAAACACTCATGCTCATCTGATGGGTAAAGTCCACTCTACTTCACATTTGGAATGAGAGAAGTCAAATTCAGGTGCATCTCTAGCTCCGTTACTATTAGAAAAATGTTTCTGGGTATAATGAAGCAGGAATATAAAATTTCTCTTTTCCAGTAACTCTCACAGGCTTCTGCTCAGTCTCTCTGAGTTTCTTTAGCTGCATCTCATCTCCCTTTATCCCCTTTTTCTTTTTGCCCTCCCCACTCGTACTGCAGCATTAATGTAAAAGTTTGATGAAGGGAATTAAAGCTCCTTGGAAGGACTCACAGGGCTGATGTTTACTATGCAAAAACAGGCTGGACATTTGTCTAACTGCTCCTTCGAATCTTTCAAACTTTTCTGACATAAAGGACTATTCCTTCTTTAAGGACTCATGAGATATTTTTCTATTCCAACCCAGACAGTCTGCATTGCTAACAAGATAGTCTCACACAGTAAATTATGGCTGGAATCTAGTCTAAAGAATAGGAAGAAACAGCCTGATTAAGAACTGATGAAAGTTTCACTTGATTATCACCAAGGCCCCAGAGAAAAAGTAATACATTAAAAAAATTTACAAATAGGCTTTTTGAGTGGGTAAAGATATCTACATCCATTACCCCAATCACTTTGTATAATCTGCTTGGGTTTGGATCTGCCCCCTCCCCATTCAAGGGAGGAAGGGGAGAACAGGTAAATGTTTGGTTTTGACAGTCTCAGTCTCCTCAATTAGCATCTAAATCCCTCCAGTTTGGTTCCATGTACAATAAATTACTGGCCTCACGTAGTTACACAGTGCCTCATTACTTCTTTTTCTGTGGTGGAACTTGAACCCCATCTCATGCACTGAGTTTCTTACATCCTTAACACACTACAGGTTCTCATAGGACATTTTGCCCCTCTCATGTTCCTCTTGACTGCCTATTACAACTGAGGTAAACTGCAAGGATTACATGGGTTTTCTGTCAAAACATGGAACTAGCAGGTTCATTTCCAAACCATGAAATTTTGAGTATCACCAAAATTAGGAACTTTCCTCTCTGCATCTGCATCTGTCACTTAACCGTCCTTGTTTTAAACACAGGCCAATTGAACCAATATGAACCATATTTTCAGTCCTAATGCTTAGTTGTCACAGTAAAGTGTTGACAAGATACAGTTATCCAATACTGTCATTTAATCACCATCCCAGCTATTTTATTTGAAGTTCAGGACAAGATTAACCAGGCACAAACTGAAACTTTCCAAGACTCTCCATTGCTTTCTTTCACTTTGTAAACCACAGAAAATTTGGTTGACTGTACCATCTCTGCAAACAGCCTTTACTAAAACTGCACCACTGAGCTATGACCTTGAAGTCCAGAACGTATGGCAGAAAGCATTCAGCAGTAGGAAAGGCAAGTGGATGTACTACAGAAGCCTTTTTCTAACAGTTAGTTAAAACTGAGTCATAAATCAGATGATCAGATTTGAAAGGAAACCTTTCCTTTTAGCAGCAATTCCAGAAAACATTTTAAATGTGACAGTAGAGCATGTTTAAAACAATGTCTTCCATGAGCCTGAAAACTACCATGAGCAAGAATTGTGAAGACACAGCCAAATCCTTTAAGATACTCCATCCCTGTTCTTCCCAAAACATGAACAAATGAGGGAAAAGAAAATATATAAATTTATTGTTTTGTTATAATTTATAAATTATTGTATTGTTTTACAAGTGTTTTTCCTCATGTGAATGTAAGAGCAGCCTCAAAACTTCACCGTTTTTCATTAATTTAAAAGAAAATATCCTTTACCTTGCATTGTTGTCCAAACAAAGATATTCCCTGGGATCATCAGCACTAGCATTAGTTGTTTTAACACCCTTATCAATGAACAAACCAGCCTGAAACAAGCAAGAAAAGAAAATTCATACTATTCAAAATTAAAGATAGAGAAACACTGAATTTATAAAATTTAAACACTGCATTCCATACACAAATCAGAAACTCCTATATCTTTCAGTTTGTCTTTAACAGGCATATTGTCTACGGGAAAACTAGCTAAATAATATAATAAACCAGTCTGTGCTAATTTGGGAAGAGGAAACGAACTATCTGGCATAGAAAAAAAAGGAAAAGTAATGGAAGATCACTAAAATTCACTTCGTATTTCTTTCACGACATCTATTTGAGGTTTTACATTTATTTCCAGATGGTGTTCTGGAAAATCTGGAATCCAGTCTTATGGTGAATTCAAATTCACCATAATTTCACCATAATTCAAATTCACCATTCGAATTCAAATCTCATAAACTAAAGGAAAAAAATAAAACAAAACAAAAGAAAAACCACAAACCACTGTGAAAAATCCTTTGTATTTCACTTAAAAATTAAACTACTCTCACCACTAAAGGCTCTGTTTGTCTACGCAATCATCAGGTTGGAAATTTATAACCCAGTATGATATAATTTACTTGAGAAAATAAAAGGAGGAAGCATTTGTGTTCTTTAACCTGAATTCCATAAAAATACCTGCAACTACTTTCACCTCTGATCCAAATTATGATTACAAATAAGTCTCATGCACAAGTACATTCTCAAACCTGTTAGTGGAATTTTCTCTTCTAACATGGAATTTTAGTCCACAAACTGTGTTTAAAGATGATACCGGCTATATAGCTGAAACTTTTTTCTTCCTACTGCACTCTTGTATCCAGTATGTTTTCATTCCAATCTGAACAAAATGCCCTACAGTATCAAAGAGGTCATTAACACAACCTCCATAAAACATTGCATCCTTTCTTGGTATCCCAGACTGATTTTGTCAAGCAAAATCAGTTTACCTGGCAAAAAAAAGGCAAGAGTGATTCTATAAGGTTTCAATGGCTAAACTATGAAAATGTCTATAAGGCAATTTCAAACATCAATAAGGATTTAGAGTCTAGGTGGCTTTGTGAATGTCATTATATTTATACACCCCCACACAGAGAGCAGGTAGATTTCAAATGAAATACTTTAAGTTAAAATGTGGAAAAAGTATGAAAGTCGCGAATAAAACAATCATCAATGCCTCTGTCTAGGCTGAGAACCTGTAAGAAAAAACTGCTGCAAGTAACTGGGCTCCTGAAGGTAACACTGAAGCTTAATTTTTAGCCAGAGACTGTGCCACCATGTGCAAACACTTGAGTTACCCTACATTACAGATTCAGGAAAACAAGTCACAGCTACTCCAGGAAGCTATTAGATGAATTACAACTATAATGAACTTTGATTCTTCAAGGGTCAGCTTTCTTCAGAATAGAAAACAAAGCTACAAAGAGTAGCACCTGAAGCACCACTTCTGAGAAAAAGTCCTTTATTAGAAGTATTAATTGGTCGTTTATGCCTTAGGAGGATGCGAAATACAACGAATACTTGAAACGTGGCAAGAAAATATACGCATACTGATTATAAACCATTCTACAATACAGTTCAAACACAGCACAAATCTATCATCTAACCAGTTCAAAATATAAACAGACAAGTCCTAATATACAATATTTGCAAATAAAGAACTTCACTCTTTTTTTTTTAATGAGATAATACATTACCTTAAAGTTAGAATGAACCCTGTTGTTATAGAAGATTCCTAGGGGTGTAAGCTCTGATTTGGTTTCAATGGCTAAACTATGAGAATCTCCTGTAGCAACCCTGTGGAACAAATACCATATTCCAGCATCCTGCAAGTAAGGAGAGAATAACACTACTCATAAGTGATTATAAGTGATTCTGATACTTCTATTGGTTCTGATACATCTTTTCACAAAGTAAGTGTATGCAAAGCTGAACTTGGACATTTTAAGTAAAGAAGCAAGTAACAGCATAGTCCAAATCAACAGTGCCCAATAGAATATATTTTTTAAATAAAGTTTCCAAACAAGTTCCCAGTGAGAAAGCAGGATTCTGCAAATTAGTCTATATTATAGTGAACAATATGCGCTAAAAAGCGTTTTGCTTTTGACTGAAATCATATAACACCACACATTTAAGATCTTCTAATACTTAAGGAAGAAAAAGTGTCCAGGCTAATGTAAGTAATTTTTGCATTTCAGTTACATGTCATCCCACACACTTGATTTTCCTTTTTTTAGTAATAAATCATACTATTCACAATAAAATACTCAAAACCATTCCTTCTCTCCTTACTGTTACAGTCTGACTAAAGGCGGTTCATCTTTGCTCACATCAGAATCCACAAGATCTTTCAGAGGAATGGAAAAAAAAGCATATCAAGAAGTCTGGCCAGTTCAGAGCACTGTACCAATAACATGCAGTAACAATTTCAGTATCTGTTCATTTTCTCTACTTCTTCAACATCCCTGCTCTTAAGGAAGCTGGATTTATCTATTAAATAAGACCCACAAAAATTTCCCCTTTCAAGCACATCTGTGTTCACAAGAGGTGGCACCATGACAACACCTGCATAGCAGATACCTACAAAAAGGAAAAATTTTGCCTGACCATACACTCCATGCCCTTACAACATTAAAAAAAATATTCACATAAAGCACATTAAAGGGTTAAACAGTAGCTACAAAAACACTGCATACTGAATGTTCCATCTTATAAAAAACAGTCATCATCCTTTTCAAGAAACGTGGATTAAGCCAATTCACCCTGGCTTAAGAGATTTCAAATGTACCACCCTGGGAATATGCTCATTTTTCATTATCTGGAAATTCTGCTTCACAACAACATTCCCCATCCACTATGATGACACACTTTACCATTTCTAGTGACTAACCATTACAAAGCAAATGTGGATGTTCCATTAATAAAAAATACCAAAACCTTCCTTCCTATATAATTAAATACAGATCCGTGTTTGGCAGTAAATTTTATCCAAAACACATCCTGATGCTTGAAAAATCATAAAATAAATTTAAAAGCTTCTTAAGCACTTGAAAGCATTCAGAAATACGAAAAGGGTTTTTTTTTTTCCCTCTTCTCTCTCATACACAGCCAAAACAAAAGAAACATCTACTGCCAATACACCCTTACAATGGGCTTCATTGTATAATGAAGGAGCTGGGGGGAGGAATAGAATTATTTGCTTGTGAATTGCTATAGTTTATATTAGCAAAGGCTCTACAGTGTAGAGTTTGTATGAACACAGTTGAAACATTCTATTTCTAAAACTTATTAAGCTGTAGTCCCTTTATACCAATGCATTTACATTGGTGCAAGGGAGGTATATCAGGGTGGTAAAACTTTGTAACATACAGAAATAGTTGCTCTGATCAGGCACATTCTGGTAAGAAAAGGAAATAACATCTACTGGGATGCTCTATGGAGGCAGAAAACAGACCTTACAGGACCTTAAGCACCAGATCGAGGAAGCTGTTGTCTTTAACTTAGCCCGCAACGCTAAAACTGGTCTATATGAAGCAGGCAAAATTGTAAGATATGGCGTTGGGAGGAAAAGAACCGATTTAATTCGGTAGGTGAGTCTAAATCCTTCCTAGTGGTAGACAGTTAAATAGAAAAGTTTGTAAAAAAAAAGACACAATCAAACAAAAACACCACCCCCAAACTCAACCCCCCTCCCCCAAAAAACAAACAAACAAAAAAATCAACAAAAAACCCCCCAAAAACCCCCAACCAACAAAAAACAGACCACACAAAAACAAGAACAAAATTTTCTGATTTTTTTTTATACCTTAGATATTTCAACTCAGTTAAATATTTTGGATCTGATTCTATTTATTAATAACAGTTTATTATGTTATCTGTACCTAAAAATACACACACTCATATTCTTCCAGCACTGGAGCCCTTGCAACAACAATGAACAATCTTTCCTGTTTTCCATCCCACTGATCTCTTTAAAAATATCCACTCAAAACCATACACATCTCAGACTCTCCTCCAACGCCGAAGTAGAAAAGACTCCAGCCCCCCTCCTCCACAACCTGTACAATGCAGTTCAGCTTTACTTTGCAAGGAGCTGTAACAAGATATCTGCACTAATATAAGGTTAACGACAAGCAAACCCATATCAGCAGTCACTGACTAGAAACAAATGAGTAAACATTGACAGGAAAAAGTAGTTTAGCTGTTTCTTACACAATGAACACCCTTTCGCAGTCATTTTTCATTCCCATGACTACAGCTATAAAGACAGATCTTGCAGAGCTGTCACTAAACTCATGACAACCTACATAAAATACAGAAGCCTTAACTGAATTGCGTTAGTTCTGTGAAAATAAAAGAATTTCTACATATACACATCAACACTATAGTCAGGTCTATTAACTACAAAGAGGAAGAGATCTCCTCTGTTGCGGCCAGAACAAAGATTTCTGGCATCTCTCGAATGCACATCTAGACACAGCCTGCACCTTCAATGTCAATACACTGCCAAACATATTAAGAACATATTTATACATAAAAAAGAAAAATATATGCACTTCTGGCAGTGTAAATGTTACAGATTTTACAAATGCCAGTGACATGAGTAGTTTGTGATGAATTACATCAATATGCCTCACCTGTGAGCCTGCTGCTGCGTTATTTATAAGATGATTGTTGGGGTGAGAAATCCAGAATGTCGAAACCGCCCTGAAATATTATTCAGAAACAGGTTACTGTTCTGAAATATTATTCAGAAACAGAAAAGTTCTAGCTCCAATAAAAATTCCCCCTTGCTAACAAGCACACCAGAAAAAGCTAAACTGGTGAAGTCACTGCTTCACATATGTAATAAAAATCACAAAACCTACCACATTTAGAAGACAAAAATGCCTTTTTTTTTAGTTCAATGCCCAGTATTGTATTTAATGTTGTGCAAATATCCCATGCAATGATAAACTATTTTAAGAAGCTTTCACAAGAAATAAGTATCACTTATGTCTCCAGTGGTGAGAACCTGAGAATATGTGTACATTTACACAGAATAAAGATGTTCAATAGGCTTTTAAAGCCACTAATATAACAAGGAACAACAATCTTCCTATAAAACAACTTATTGTTTTATCTTTAATAAAAGACTAAATGTTACTTTTTATTCTTATTTTTTAAACACCAATACTATGTAAATTATATTTAAGGTGTCTGCATTCACTAAATTATAGATAAAAGTGTTCCCATCTGTATTTTTTTCAAGAGATCATCAGCAGTTTAACTGCTGCAGCTGGCTTGGTTTTAGTTTTTCACCATGACATACTCACATGCAGTCTGTGGCTGGCACTGGGACATAGTTTCCATACACTTTATCCCTAATACCAATACACATGCTGCTGTTTCTGTCTGTAGGTAGAATAGTGCCTGGTTTTGTGACTAGCCCAAGATTGTGGAACAAAGTATTCCTCTGCTCAATGCCATCTTCTATGAAGAAACAGTGACCTAGTGTGTCGTAGCCAATGGTGTCCTTTATCTGCAGAAATACAAGTTCATTATGTCAGTAGTAATAGCATTTACTGAGATTTATTTGACAAATACCATATAGTTATACAATCTTGGCACAGCTGCAGAGTGAAGCTTCAGTATCAGCAGTTCAGATGAGTCAAACACCCAGTTTTATTTATCCCTTACAAACACACTATTATTTCTGGAGAGCTTAGCTGTCTGGAAGAATCCAAAAAAACAGAATGGTGAGAGCTGTTAAAAATAAATTACTGTTTGCAATTGTTCATTTATTCACTGAAATAAGAAAAACATCACTGAGCACTAAAATTGCAAAAGGGATGGGACTAGTTTGGGGTCTAAATGCTCTTCAACATTTATTCCAACACAGTATGTTTTACTCTCCTTGCACCTACCAGCAAGCCATTAGTTGCATGAATAGTCACACATCTGGAAAAACAGTGATGAATGGAAAGACCTTCCACGTAAGTTTTAACACTATAACCTCCTTTTTCATCCACATCTCCACAAAGGTGAAAATGAACAGGGTAACTTCCAATTTGCTGCTGGCCCATTTGCTTCAATTCCACGTAGGAGAGATGAACAGATGTAAAATTCTTCAAAATCTAAAAATATGAAGTCCAGAGTGAATAACCAATTATTTGCTTCTTAACCAATGGAAATTTTAAGTTAATACATCACCTACACCAGAGGTAAAGAAGTTAGATGTACACGGTTGCCACAGGACAACACAATAAGTTAGAACAATCATTACTGTCTAGCTCTACAGAATGCCTTACAAAACAGTATCCTTCATAAATAAGTTGAAAAGTTTAACTTCCATGTGGCTAAAACAGAGGAATTTTCACCAGATATGCTGCCACACTTTACTGTTTGGTCTTTATCAGGTGGCACATTACATATTCTTTACATGTACTGTCCAAACAGAGAAGTCACTCACATCAGAACCTGTCTGTACTGAAGCTGCACCAGTGTAGTCCACCTAGCACAGGTTTAGCTGAATAAAAACCAGCTATGCAGAAAAATAGATTCAAAGGAACCTGATGAGATTCCTAGTCCAATTGGAAGCTCAGCGCTGGGTCAGTTTAAAGACAGTTGCCCTGAGCACATTGCTCAGAGAACACCTCCAGCCACAGAGATATAAATTGGTTCTGCCCTTTCGTTTTCCCAGTATCTAAGCATTATTTGCTTTGCTGAAGCCTGGTCCCATTGCCTCTTGTCCTCTACACCTCCAAGAATTGCTCTGGCTTCTCTGAACCCTCACCAGTGCCTGAAGACAGCAACAAGATCCCTCCTCTCAGCTCCTCCTCACTCATCATCACTTGCTGCCACACACCACCATCCCTGGAGATACCCCGGTCCATCTAAATCATCTCTGCAATGGGAATCCAAAACTGGACACAGCACTTCAAAAGGAATTTCTTTATTAAGTAAGGATAAAAAACTGCCTTCACAATCATACAAGTTTACCGTAAAGCTACTGAGTACAAAGTAAATCATGATGGGGCTGTAGCAGTAATGAAGGAAAGAAAAAGTATTTTCTTCCACCTAACCTGCTAAGAAAACATAAACCAAGTGCAACAGCTAAACTGCAAGGAGCTAAGATGACAAAAAAAACAGAAACCAAACCAAAACAGACCCTGCCTTTGGTTTGTAATTTAATTTTATTAACCTACCTGTACTGAGTATTTATCAAAAATTTTCATACGTACTCTTCTCTAGGAAAATCAGTCATATGGACTTTTTTTCTCCTCCTCCACTAAATGAACTCCTAAGGTTTGCATGCCTAAAATACAGACATCCCTGATCTCTGACTCTTTAACATTGAAAAGCACCAAAACTGCAAAGCAATGCCGCTCCCTCACTGCCTCTAAGCCTCCTTTACGCTTTTGTCCTAGTGACCAGTAGGAAATCCAGAATGATCAAGAGCTGTTACATTTCTTAGTGTCTAGGATTCCTCTGCTTGGGCATGCAAGATTAGCATAAACTAAAAATGTTTTCAGTGCTAAGTCTAGGTTTAGCAGCAGCCATCTACTACTCTAAACAGTCCCCTGGAAACAGTTTAACAACTTTAATGACTCAAAATGTTTGTCTGCTGTATTTACACTTTTGTGGCAATCAAGGTTACACTTTGCAAGATACCCAGCCTGTCATTATCTTCTTTCATTACATTATCTTAAACATAAAGAAGTGCTTTGAGTCCACCTACTTTCTTCCACAAAACAAAAGCTGCCACACAGTAGGGAAAGGGCATATTTTCTTTCTCACTATTATGTCCACCAGCATAAAATTAAAATCTGCATTCAAATATATTAGAAAGAAATTTAAACTGTGATGACCACATAATGAGCCCAAATACATTTGCAATTAAAATATGAGACTTCAAACTTCTCTAGCATCAGTGAAGCACTGCTGCTCAAACCTTTCACCTAAAAATGTAAGTGAACACAAGTTTAAATTTTACTTTCTATAATACTACTTTCCCTCAGCTTTATGCTTATAATACAAGAAATCTGAAGCATTTTCCTTTATATAACCTTAGTACTTTCAAATTTTTAAAAAATTAAATACAAAACCCCATGGTCCAACACAGTTTCTTTTCTCTCCATGCCTCTCTAGTGCCCAGTTTCAGATGAGGCAGATATTTAGGATTCAGTGCTTATCACCTGGGGAGGGAGGAAGGAAGTAAAAGGAGGAAAAAGAGATAAGAGGGAGATCAAACTTTATTTTGTAATATAACCGGATGCACATACATGGACATTACTTTAAAGGTTTAACCCCTGCCACACAAAGTTGCAATATTTGCTGGATATTTCTATAACACTTGTGCATTGATATCCCTTCCTCCAATTCTGCATAATTAAGTCTTGAGGAGCAAAATCTACTTTTGGGAAAGCTGAGAACAAAGTCATTTCCACACAAAGGAACTGTATGAATTGATGTTAAGTTTTCAAGTACTTTACAGTTTAACATTCTTTTTTGTCCTCGATGTGCATGATAGAAAGTTACTGTAAAATATTTTTCAAACCTTGATATGTCCACCAAACGTATCATAACTAAAGAACTGACACTCCTTTTCACGGTAGCAGGTATTTTCTGTTTCTCCCTTTATTAAGATATTTCTTGTAAGAACTCCAACTTCTGCTCTCATGTCCACTCCATCAATAACTTCTCCTGCATGAGGAAACTGAGGATTTTCTGTCCAACAAAAGTTGGAAGGGGGGAAAAAAGAAAAAAGTTGTCATTGATTAAAACCAGAACCAACTTATATAAATAAGCAAGTTAACCATAGCAACAAAACCCATGCATTCCTCTTACCACACTATTCTCTCTTAGTTTTTCTTATGGTAGATGTATCTCTTATTTTAATAAGAAACTAATCCTAAACGGATATCAACATTTTATTTGCAAATGTGTCTTAATTTCAGTCCAGTAGTTTGTGAACAGGATGGGGAAAAAAAAACAAAGAAAAGTTTAAATTAATCCAACGTATTTAGAAAACTTCTAGTGAAACATAGGTGCACACTTGCTTTAAAAGAAAAAAAGATGCTGGCTACTTAACCTGTTTAAAAGACAAATTAAGAACTGAAAATGAGGCCCAAACACCTTTAGAAAATACTGTATTCATCCTCTCCTAAAAGAAAAAAGGATTTGCTTTCCTACTTATATTTCCTCTTTCCTAGATAGCTATTCTGAGTATTCATAAACTAATAACAGGAAAAAGAAGAACCTCTGGTTTAATACTGTTCTTCCAAAAACCAATTAATTTCTTATTTGAACTGAGAAAGTTCAAAACCTGCAAACCTTAAAAAATGCTTTTATTGATTGCTGAGTACAGATTGTCACTATCCCTTCAAGGCTTACAGAAGGATTAAAGCCTAAACTACCAGAGAAGCAAAACTAAGAGTGATATTAACTCTGGATCTGCTGTTGAGGATTTAAAAAGACAAATGATGTCTGCAAATGGGCCTGCACTCCTCTCCCTGAAGGCTTACCTATTGTTTTCCCCTGCATTTGACTAGCAAATATAAATCAAGTGAAGAAAGAGCAAGTAGGGCACCTACAATACAATACTTTTTAGGTTTTCTACTACAAAGAGGTGAAAATAGCTAAAAGCTTAGCAAAAACTTCAAGTAATAATTTCAAAAAATGGAACATTCTTCAGCATGTCAAATTTACCATTCCACAGAAAATTCTTTCTTCATTGAACAAATATGTAGGGTGGTTTGGGGATTTTTTTAAACTGTATATGTTACCAAAACAAAGAAAACCCTACTGAGAGTGAAAAAAAAAAAACAAATGGGCAAGTTCACTTCCTTAACACCTTCTAAAGATCTATAAACAATTTAGATAGGATTTATTTTCAAAAAGACAAGATTTTGTATTTTATACCATATTGTAAATCTTGTGAAAATGGGGTTTTTAAAAACCTTCGAAAGCAGTTGCTTTCTCACACACGATTTCCAGATGAAACAGAATTCGCACATACACTATTAAATCATGACAAAAACCTTCTTAAATTTTGCACTGCAATGTTCAAGTTAAGTTTGCTCCCTAAAACACACAAAATGATATTTAAGAACAAAGACAAGGAAGCATTGTGTTCAATGGCACTAAGACACCTCCAAAACTTCACGCAGCCTGGCATTCTCCAATGTATAATAAGGTAAACTCAGATACACTTTTTTCATACTCAAGACTTCTCAGTGCAGTAAAACATATGTGCACATGCTAACAAATGCTGTGGGAAGCAAATTTCACTGCAAGGGGGACATACAGACTGGCAGTCCCTTAAGGTAGAAGGGAATAGGGAAGTTTGAGGGTACGCACAGAAAGCTTCCAAGAATGAACAAAGTGAAGGGCAGTTTGAAGAGGAAGTCGCACCATGCAGAGACTAATAGGACAAACCACATTCAGAACAGCACTAATGAGCTGCTGCAAACTAACACTGCAAAAACACTTAAACACTTCTCATTAGTCTGCGCTACCGACTGACACTGCAGCCCACCAGAAGGAGCGAGAGGGAAAGCTCCAGACCAGAAGCTGGAGGACCACCAAGAAGGAGGGCATGGAGTGGGTGTGGAGCAGCAGAAGGAAAACACAGAAGCCAGCATAGCTGGCAAGTCAGTCCCCTGGGAGGTTCTTGTGATGTCAAGCAGAATGATTCAGATAATAAAAAGGAAATGGTCAACAACACACACAACCATTTTGTGCGCATCACACCCAAAGGAAAAACAGATCGCAACCACCCAGGGATATTCTGTGTGAGCAGAGTCTTGGAAGGGCCACTTATTTTATAACCATTTTGTTGGTGGGGGGTAGAAAGGAGACTGAGGAAATGGAGAAAAAAAGGATTGCAATTTTCTTTTTTCTTCTTTTTTTTATTTCTCTTTTTTTAATAACAGAAAAAGTTATAATGATAACATTTCAAAAGAGGGGAAGAACACTAAAGGCAAAGGAAATGGTAATGATCATAACAGCTATTCAAGCACATATAAAGAGAATTTGTGAAAAGACAGAAAGAAGCCAGGGAAAGAAAACAAGCATAATCCTCTTGGAAAAAAACTAAGGCATTCAACAAGCTTGGGAAGAAACTAGAAAGAAAAGTTAGTACGGTAAGCTTTGAGGCAGACCTGACATTATACAGAGTCATTTTGCAGCAAAGAGAATTACACGCTCGTGCATATGGCAACAAAGTCACACAGAGACATGTGAAAAGGTTGTTCCTTACTGCTCCCATTGCAAGGGACTGTCCATGGACAAATATATATTTCACACAGGCCTTCAACTGGGGACTGCTCTCATACCTTTGACTTTAACCTGATGCTTGGTACATTCTGGGCAGGGAAGGAGGGTGAATTCCTCTGTCTGATACATTGAATAGTCTGTGCTTGCAACCACAATCCGGTCTCCAGGCTCCCAACTACTAGCATCATCCAGAAGATTCAGTATTACTCCACCTACCGCTTCGACCTGGAAGCCTGAAACTGGGACACCTAATTAAGGAAAAAAAAAGTAAACACAATATAAGATTATATTCAACTTTATATGAAACCATTCTCTAACCAAGTACATACTAATAAAATATGTATGAGATTTCACAAGCTCCAAAGCCCTCTAAACTAGAACTCTGACCTTAAACATGCCAGTGTGACATACCTTTACAGCCTGCTTATTTATTTGATCTCAAATAAAACAAAGGGAAAAGTCAGAACTAACACCAACAGGAAAAATCTATGATTTAAAAAAAAACCACAAACTAATATCATATGGCAACAATTTGTAGGTCCAGCTACCTCTGCTTGTTTCTAATGACATTTGCCATTTTAAACTCTGCAAATGTAATCAAGGTCCTGGAAAAAAAAGTAGAGGGACTTTTTTTTTAAGCACAACTAACAGAACAGTTTGGCAGACTAAATTACACACGTATGATATTTCATTAGCTTATGATGGATTTGCATAAGTTCAGCTGCTTTTGCTAACTCTTGAACTTAACTCTACAGCACCAGCAAGTAAAAGAGATATTTTTTAAAAAATCCACCAAAATACAAGTCTATACATTTTCATAGGGCCATAATGAACAGTAAAAGGGTAGTACCTAATGGCTTAATTACTTAACAAGTAAACACATGACTACCATAAAAAAATTCTTTTGAGGAAAACACTATATTGCTTAATAATTCTAAAACCAGAAAAAGGTAACTACCCATAAAAACCTCAGATCAAAGCTACCTTAAGTTTAAAAAATTAATAAAGGATAAAATAAGTGATAGACTTTCTAGCTTTTTACAGCACAGATTCAACTTTGTATGAGAACAGCTGCCTAAAGTTCAGCATTCAAACAGCAAGAGAAAATTGTAGAAGAATAAAACACTTCTCTTGGCTTCTATCAAGTTTTCTTTTTTAGCACTATAATCAACATCTTGAAAGCTCATATTTAAAATATACATGGCTGAAAAATTACTAAAATAAAATTTAAAAAAGCATCAGCATTTATAACACTCCTATCTCCATTTAAATATACTAAAAATTAAGATTCTTAATATGATACTGATCACATGCTCTATACAAACAGACTGAGAAAATAGGTAGCACTGAAGAACTATGTGCTCATATTTCATCCACAGCAAGCAAAAACAACTTACAGTAGCACTCAAAAATTTAAATTGCAACCAACATCTCTAGCAAAAAAAAAAAAAAAAAGGCATATATAATATTTTTCTTCTTCTCCAACTGCAGGATTTCAAAAAACACTTTCCTACCATCATTCCATTCGCTGTAAGCTCTCACAACAAACTTCTGCCCGTCCACTGTGAAAAACTCTTTCTGAGCAAGAGCTTTCCCACCAGTGCTGTGGTTTTCATAGTTTCTCACTGATTCATTACAGGAAGAATTTCCACCACCTATAACACCAACTAAAGCCCACGCTTGCCTGTGAAAATCAAAAGTAAATGTTTAAATAAAATGGCTTTTAACAAATTCTTCACAGAAAAAGGAAAAGACAAGGAGCACCAAAGTCTAAAACCCCTTTTGTCTGCTCTTCTAGATTAATTTTAAAATGCAACTTCAAAATGTAGAAGAAAATGGGCAGACCTCATTGAAAAGAAAAATTGTTTAAAATAGCTGGATGTCCTATACACAAAATGGCAAATAAAAGAGCTCTCACTGGAGAAGACTTCCATATACATTTTTAGGAAAACATTCAACAAGATACACTTTTTTCCAAAAGCAAAAATTGCTAGAGATGAGCAACAGACAAAAGCAATACAGGATCCTATTCCCAGAAAGCATTAGTAGGGTGCAGGAGGACTAGGAGCCAGTGCCAACATTCCTGCCATGGCCCGCTGCCATCAGCCAGCAGCATCCCAAAGGAGTGGCCAGGACTCCCAGGGGACCACATGTTCATCAGGCCAGGAGGGATGGACACAGCCAACAGCACCCACTGGCACTGGCTACTGTGTTGGACAGTCAATAGTTCTTGAATCTTTCAGGATGCTCAGATCCAGAAAAGGAACCACATGCTGTTACACAACCTCTGCACAAGAGATCAACAAAATGTCTGAAGGTTGAGACCTAGGGTTGTTGTTTTTCACTCCTCCCTGGCCCACCCCTCAGCTGGACACCTACTTGGCTGAGCATCAGCATAGAGCAGGGAACTGCCCTGGATGTACTTGCCCTTCTTATGGCTCTGCTCAATGCATCTAAGTTTTTGGAAATTAAAAGCAAACAACACACCACAGAAAGTTTTTACCAAGTTCAAAAAAAACAAGTCTATTTTGCTGTCCTCTGTAATGCCATAATCATGTGTACAGAGGAAGCAGTCGAGATCATCTAAAAAAGCTGGACAATTTTGCATCATTAAAGTTGAATCATTCACCCTAAATGAAAACAGTCTTAACTATCTGGACTACAGTCTGTTGTTAATGATTGATTTAAAGGCAGATATTAAAACCACCTTTGATCCACCTGCCTTGATTTCAGTCCCCTCTTGATATTTTTGTTGATTGGGATTCATTAACATGTTCATAGGAATAGTACATATTGGGTCAGCTTTTCAGCAGCAGCAGCAAACAATCTGAATGTTTCACATATCAACATTTAAAATAAAGGTATTTCGATGCATGTTATTTTGCAGGAAGAGGTAGAAGGAGAGAGGGATGTAATGGAGTATTCACCTCCATGCTGAAATCTTCTTCACTAGCTTTACAGGTTTAACAAAACGACCCTCAGTGAGCCATCGGGGAGAGCTTCTCGCCCATCTTCCACAGCAGAACAAAACAATTTTATGTGCTTACAGAGCCTTTACTGACTACGGAAAACAGACAAGAATCAATTCAGCAGAGAAGGAAAAAAGGTTGCTTCTTCCCACTTGCAGGCTGAAGAAGTTCCTCATTTCAGACAAACTCTGTGGAGGTCACAGGCAGAGACAAATCCCACAAATCTACACCTCTCAGGACAGGTCGGGCTGGCTGCACCACAACCTGAACAATCCAAAGCCACAGGGGGCTTTGCTGCTTTCAGAAGTGGTGCTCTACTTCAGGACATCCAGGTCTTGGCATCTCTGACCAAACTGCTTCAGAGGCAGCACTGCAAGTGCTTTCCATTCCATGACTCCACCCTTACACAGTCAGTGACATAAATGTATTCCTGACAGGAACTGAGGTCAGAACATGCCATCCTGACTGACACGCCAGCCCGCCTCTGCCAAAGCATAGGGAGGAAACTAACAGGAATCCAGATGTTAGGGCCTAGTGAGGGATAAGAATAGAACAGAAAAACTAAATGACCAATTTCCTGGAAAATACTGGAAAAAATAGAGAGGTTATACAACATTGCCTCAATGGAAGCTGAAGAACAGACTGACAGTCACTTCGTAGACTGGGTACACTTTCCCTTGTATCGACAACACAGAATCACAGAATGATTTAGGCTGGAAAATACCTCTAAGATCATCAAGTCCAACCTGTGACCAATCACCATCTTGTCAACTAGACCACGGCACTAAGTGCCATGTCCACTCATTTCCTGAACAACTCCAGGGATCCCTGAGCATCCTCCCATCTCCCTGGGCAGTCCATTCCAATGTTTAACAATCTCTTCCATGAAGAAATTCCTGCTGAATTCCTGAACCTCCCCTGGTGCAGCTTGAAATCAAGTCCTCTTGTCCTGTCACTACCTGCTTAGGAGAAGAGATCAACCCCCACTTGGCTAACAGTCTCTTTTCTGGTTGTTGTAGACAGTGGTAAGGTCTCCCCTGAGCCTCCTTTTCTCCAAGCTAAACACCCCCCTCTCCCTCAGCTGCCTCTCATATGCATTACTCTCTAGACCCTTCATCAGCTTTGTTGTCCTTCTCTGGACAAACTGCAGCACCTCGATGTCTTTCTGGTTGTGAAGGGCCCAGAACTGGACACAGAACTTGAGGTGTGACCTCCCCAGTGCTCAGTACAGAGGAACAATCACTTTCCTGGTCCTGCTGGCCACACTATTGCTGATAAAAGCCAGGATGCCATTGGCCTTCTTGGCCACCTTGGGTACATTGCTTTGTATGTCCAGAGTAGTGTGAACAATCCTCTGCAGCACAAAGCCACGTTCAAAACATGCACTGCAAAAAGCCATTTGCAACAACTAAATGAACGGCACAGCAGTTTAAGTTTCCTGCTTTAATAATTCCTGTTATACCTCTTCTACTGTCTCACCAACCAAATCCTGACCAACTGAAAAGAATGGTAAAAAGATACAGAAACACCTTGTAAGTGCACTTCAATTACAAAAAAATTCCAGAGATCAGTTCCTTTGCAGACTCAACGGAGGAGTAACGTACTTCCATTTCAACAGTGCAGGAGTATGACTAAGATGGTATTTGATACTCGGGATTAGCATCCCTTAGAATCACAGAATGGTTTGGGTTGGTAGGGACCTTAAAAATCACTTAGTTCCATTCCTTGCTTCTCTAAAGTCAGAGGCATTAAAAGCTCCACCTAACAGCTGTTTTCCACCTGCATCTTAGAATGACAAAATAATCCTTGCTGCACCCAGTTTTAATTTCTGTAAAGAACAGTAAAAGAGAGCAATTACAAGTAATAAAATCTGTCACACAAATATCTGTAACTATCAGGCTCTGCACTATATCACTAACTGAGTACTATTACTGCAGTACTATGCACAACACGAGAATTCTCTGAAAACTTTATGAACAGACACTGCCAAAGGTAACAAATCCCCCAAATCTGCATCTCATCTTTACTTAGCACAAAAGGTAAAATAAATTATTTACCTGTAACTTAATCCTCTGACAAACTTACTTCCCAAAAGATTTTGAATAGTCACTCTGGTTTCCTCCAGTAGATTTTTAGCAGCAGAATCTCCTACAGCAATAGCAATAATGCGACCAGGACTTCCATTTTTCAGTAAGTTCTGAAGCTTCAAGCTGTCTTCTGAAAATTCATGAGTATCAAACTTCAGCACTTCCAAAATCTCTGCTGTGTCCTGATCGATCACTCTAACATTTAGTCCTCGGGAAAAATTCTTTTTAAATGTATAAGGACCATAGGCCAGCCCTGAGAAATACAAAGTCTTTGACAGAAAAGTCCATGATAGCTTCTGGTGCCCATGCAACTCCAGTGTTCCTTCAGGGCCCACGCCAATAAATTTTTCACCAAATTCTAACACATCAGCACCTTCATTTGATTTCCCATACAAAATAATAGTTGCTTTGGATTTATAGCGGCATTTCTCTGCTCCAACGTGAAGCATTCCACCATCCTTTATCAGGATAAATCGAGTTCTCAAGGTAATATTTTTAGAACCTTCTTTATCATCAGCAAAAACAAGTATACCTAAAGGAAAGAAAATATTTCTGTATGTCAAAGCAAAATTCAGATAGACTCAAAAAACTTCTGCAATAAGAACAACAGAGAAATTACAGATTTATTTTCCACACCCACAAATTGAGCTGTGATGTTCTTACATATATTTATGAATATTTGGGAAAGCAACTGCTACCAATTGTGATTTATCTTTGTAAGAATTTGCTTGGTCTATTCCTAATTATTTTCTGCCATTTTTGTAGAATTACTAATATACAAGAGGTACCAGCAGAAGACAAGCAGATCTTGTACAAAGAAGGCTACTAAACAATCTTTTTTTACTATATATCCTACAGAAAACTTTATCAGTGATGTACCGAAAAGATACTACAGTGTTCATTCATCTTTTGAATTACATACTTGACCTGGTAGCAGGCTCAAAAGTAAAAGCACAGCAACTGGTTAATAAGTTGCAATGTAAACTTTCAATATATTTTTATGTAATCACAGAAGTAAAAAATACACAGAACACTGAAGCATGGTGTTTATCCTGCTATTTCATACCTCCATCCTGTATAACTATAGAGTGTACTGTAGCATCTGAGTTCAGACGAAACAAATCCCCTTTTTTGATAAAAACTCTTTTTTCAGGATCTTTTCCAGGGCTCCAGTTTTTAAGACGAGGATTCTGATCAGGACAATTCTCTGCAATACAATGTGAAATTCAACTTTTAAAAAACAAACACCGTCACATCAATCAAGGCATCATTAGGATGAACACAAGTAAGACAGTCAGTCACTCACAAAAGATTCTCACCTCTTTCTATGGTTACAACACTGTACCCACTGATGCCACTGTGTATATCTGAGTAGCCAAAAAGACACATGAAAGGTAGCTAAACTCTCAAGGGTAGGAAGGCCTTCTTACACTGTATGAAACTACTGATAACCACACACTGTTGACAATAGATACTTCTGAACTCCATCTGATTTTTTTCTTATTTGCTATATCACCTGTAGTAGATGAGAAGAGGCAAGCAGGATGCACTCAGATGCAGAGCAATCACACTGAGCAATGGAAGTCTTAGGCCAGCTACCTAGGCTAACTAACATGGTTGTAAAGCATCTGGATCCCTTCCCTATGTCAGAAAGGCTGATACCATCTTGCTTTTAAGGACGCAAATCAATTCTTTCAGTGTAGGTTTGCAGGCAAGGGATAAAAGAGGGACAAGACATCCTTATTATATTTAGTATAATACATAATTGGCTATAGCAGTTTCCTGAGAGACAAGACATTTGGATTTAAACTTATTGGTTTGTATCCCTTAGGAAGTCGGCTTAAGTATCAGGCTACAAACCACACAAGAGTAGACACACATGCAATCCTTGCTGAAACTCCACTGAAGGTCTGGCACTACACAGGCAATAACACCAAGCTACAAGGTCAGAAAAGGAGAGGCAGCAGCAGGAAGTGACAGGATTGTGTGATTTCAGATGAAGTTACAGCAATGTAGTATTTACAACACATACCTCTTTAGCTTATTAAGCATCTGAGTAATGCAGCAGCACAGGCATATTCCTTGGAATATGTTACCAAAAGTCAGACTAAAAATATTTTTCATATGCAAAAGACAACTAAAAAGATGCCAAAATAAACAGGTTAGCAGCTGAATAGTCACAGTCAGAATAGCCTTTGCACAATCTATCTTCTGAAGAAAAACACTCACACGTGAAGTGCAACTTCAGAGGCAGAAAGCTATTAGCGATAGTCCATTCTTGCAAAACCTAAAGAAAGCAAAACCTATCCACAAGTTTAACACAAGCCAGCCTTAGTTTTGCTGACAGAAATGTTTTTCCTTCAGTATTAACTCTCAGCTTATCAAATTCCTCCCAACTCAGGAAACCCACATATACCAAAATTTCACTACCAGTGCAGAAAAATTAGCAAACTGCAGAAAGAGCAAAAGACATATAAGTAGCAGTGTAAAAAGAAAAACAAAATTAAATCTTTTGGGAGGATCCTATGAAGACAGCATTTGGAAAATGTAATTCAATAAGGGAAAGCCAAAAAGCAAGAAGTATTGCAATTAGCAAGACTGCTGAGCACTCACTGAATAAAGGCAAGTCTACTGTCTGACTCATGCAGAGTCCCCAACCCCTTTTCCCCAGATACCACACACACAAGCGCTGTGAAGAAACACTTATTTCCTGGCTGGTAGCAAAGGGCAATGTGAGGAAACCATGAGTCAGCAACCTGATGACTTCTGCTTAGTGTGATTCACAGGAGCAGATCTAGTGACTGAATTTTTCTGTTGAGTCAGAAAGAAGAGATATAGCACAGTAACTAAAAAAAATTACAATTTTAATATCTATTGTACATTACAATCCATCAAGAATGCCATCAGAATCAGAAACGGGCACTCCTGTAATGCAAACACATGCTTCTGGGGCATGGCAAACAGATGTGCTCAGCAAGAGTATTTTGAAATTCTCCCTTAGCAATTGCAGTGGGCTGCACGGAAACACCAAATATTTAGAACTTCATCATATGTCACCTCCAAAATTACTGATTACATCTTACAGACGACAGTCATTGCCTCTACAGTTTAGGTTAAATGAAATCAGAACAGATCAGAAACCAGTAGGTAGTGATGACCTTGCCGAATTTAGTCACTCATGTTGAAAACTTTTCAAGTCAAGCCTCTAGTTCAGTGCATTTCTGTAAAAATGGGCCAACTCTCCTTAAGGTTTTGTTCCTTCTAATAGCAGGGGGGGAGGAAGTGAAATTTTTGCAAATTGCTGAAGAAAAATACATCACCCCACCCACAAGAAAACACCCTGACAAAAAATAAACTCTAGAACTTTCCATGAAGCCAGTATATGAAACTTGGCAGGAGAAAAGACGGCAGGAAGCAGTTCTGAAGATATAGTTAAACAGTTACTTCCTACCTGCTTAGACATCTTGTCTGGAGTTTTTAAGGCCTCTGGGAAAAAGTTATCAGTGTTATATTATGCTCAGCATAAGTTTATCACAGCTGGGCAGCTAAATTTTCTGAGGATCCTGTTTATCCTGGGCAAGCTCCAGCCCAGAGATTCAACGGTAAAGCAGAACTTTCCACTGAAAACCTCCTCAGCTTGTCATCCTGACCATGCAGCACAAACCCAGGGAAATGGGGAAGAAAATTGCATTTCCAGCGTTCTTTCTGATCTCCAGTGTTCAGGACTCTTTCAAAAAAGAGATGACAGGATGATAAAAGCAAGGAGGAAAAAAGAAACCAGTTGACAGGCAGGAACAGAAATGCAGACTATCGTTTTCCCTTTGGGGAAGGTAAGCCAGAGGTTTAGGATTTATGCTCAATTACTACCAAGTGCCACATTCCCTCCACTGCCTTTTAAACAGCCATTACGAGTACTGACAGTATGCATTTCCAATTAGCCCTGAGGAAGAACATACCTAACTGGAACTGATGTCATTCACTGCAGTACTGCATGTGCTTGTGTTGGAGCTAAGCGTATTAACATTTCAACTTGTTGGAGAACTGGGAAGTTGCTCCAACAACCATATGTCAATCAGAATTTCCTTGGTGCTTATAGGAGTTTCTCTTGTGTCAGGATTTCACAGTATCACAGAATGGGTAAGATTGGAAGGGCCCACAGTGGATCATCTGGTCCAATCTACCTGCTCAAGTGAGGCCATCCCAGAGCTCACAGCACAGGGCTGTATCCAGACGGTTCTTGAATACCTCCAGTGAGGGAGACTCCACAGCCTCTCTGAGCAACCTGTTTCAGCACATGGTCACCTACACAGCAGAGAATTTCTTTCTCATATTAAGGTAGAATGTCCTGTGCATCAGTTTCTGTCCATTAACTTTTGTCCTATTGCTCAGCACCACTGAGAAGAGTCTGACTTCACCTCAAAGTACTTCACAGAGTCAACTGGGTGAGGCATCCTTCAGTCCGCTGTGAATGTGTCTGTAACCAAAGTACTTACTTGCATATGTACCCGTTACGAGTGATCCAGATCACAACACAGGAATAACCTTCCGTTTACTACTCCCTAAGGTTTTGTTGCTTTCCTTCATTATTATTAAGAATACTCAGTAACTTCACCCAAGAAGGTATCTCAGCAAGCTACCACCAAGAGCAGTCCAGATGGATATGTGCATTCATTCTGTACTGTCATCTGAAATCTTCAACTGATTATCTGACTTGTTCAGCCTGTGTTGCGTTGACTTTGGAAACTGCATCTTATTAATTACTATGCCAAAAGCTAGTGAGAAGTCTGTTATTACAAGAGTCAACAGTTTAAATTCAAAATCCTCTTTAGCTTTTAGAAACCTGACTTCTGCCTTAAAAATACCCTAAAAATTCAAACAAAACAACCAAAACAACCTATGCTCCAAACTATACTACCAACATTTAGCAACTAGCAACTGCACTTCACAGCAGCTCCTAGGAGTAACTGGCCAGAGTGATGTACACTGTGTGATCAGCAGTTAATCACATCACCTGTTCATGCTTTACAGACACTGACACATCTCAGAGATTCTCCAAATTCCACAAAAGTTGCTCAGTTTTCCAAAATGAGCTGAAAAAAAAATAAATCAAGACTAACAGATCAAAAAAGGGCCCTGCCCAATTTGTGTATAAACAGAGCAAACATGTACAGTTGGTATAGGTTCTCCCAGATTTTTAAATGTTTTTACTTGAATGCTTTTTTACTATCTTCTTCAGTTACTGCTTACACAGATAAGGATTTCATTTTGTCTACAATTTAGGAACCTACGAGACAGCTTCTGCAGACAAAAATAATTATGCTTCTAAAACATTCATGCTTTTTCCCCTCAACCAGTAATATTTATTTACTGCTATGCCTGTTTCACTTAAGTAAATCAAATCATGCATAATAAAAACGACACTGATAACATAAAAAGGAGTTGATCTTTGCCCCAAACACTGCCTCCTTCAATGTTAAAATTGCACTAAGTGTCCTATTTTTGCACTTAACTTTCAACACTAATCCTGATGCTGAATTATTGAGTTATGATCACAGGTAGTATAACTTCTAGGATGATTTTGTTTGCAAAAGAACTTACCATCTGGAGCATATTTTGAAGCTATTCCCAAAAAAATCCCCAGTGCAACAAAAAGTGAAAGGCTAGAAATGGCAAAGCAAATAAGAGTATTTTTATGCCTGTTGGCTTCTGCCTGTCGGCGGTGCTGCTCCACTGGTAGGGACGGAAGTCTTGTCCGGGCTTCTTGTCTGGCCGAGGTAAATTCAGCAGCAGCATGGCTCTGTGAGGGTGGTGGGGGACGGAGAGGAGCAATTCTCCCTGGGATGTACCCCGAAGACCTGTGACTGCTCCCGTTCTGAGGCCGGAGGAACGCAGGGGAGCTCCCCCTGGCATCAGTGTCTTGCATGTTATAAAGTCACTGGAACACACACACACACACACATAGGGAAAAGACAAGAGACAGGCTTTCAGAGCACACATCAAAATACATAAAAGAAAAAAAGAAATAACGACAGGCAACTTTAAGCCACATTTCTTAAGAAGAACAGCCACTGAAGCTGTGGCTATTTACGAAGTATCAGCCACTCAGTTGTTACTGGGCGCTTGACATGGTATAAAAGCATGGAACAATAGCACATGTGTCTTCAACAAAATTAAGCTCAAAAGCATCTGGTGTGGGAACCCAGTAAAGCACAGACCATTTCTTCATAGTTCCAGTAGGTATTTTTCAGAGTGTTTTCACAGTTAACTTGTATTCTGCAATTAAGAAATAAGCTGAACAATGAGAAAGCTAGCAACCCCTGCTTCCCCACAGTTATGTAAAGAATGCCTAAATGTATTTCTTCTGTGCACAGGAGCTGAACAAAATCCTCACTGTTTTCCTTCATGAAAAAGAAGCTGAAAGAGACAAGTCTTCCTTCCACACCGGAAGCAGTAAAATGCATTTAAATATACAAAATACAAAATACTATTTTATGTTTATTCATGCTGACACAGTCAACACTCTTAATGAGCTGAGGCATACAGGGCCCACAAACTTTACTTACAGTAGGATTTAACTGCTAGTAAATGTGCCTCAGGAACAGTCCTATAAGAGAGCCATCTGCAACTCATTCAGCAAACCCTGTGGTTTTCCTCACTGCTGAGATACTTGAGTTTGGTCACAAAGCCTGGAAGCAACATGTCTCCTCCATATCAATGTACCTATCACCCAGAAGCGAGTGCTGCATTTATTTCAGTTACTAGTACTGCTTCCACCTTTATTCTGAAGCACTCAAAGAGGAATGATTACCAATGCCATCACTATCTGGCCCATCCTCACCACCAGTTCTAACCCATCACGCTTTTCTGCTTTAAGAGACACAAACCTGCATTTGGCTGTTTTCTCAGGTTTTCCAGTCAACAGTGTTGTAGAGTACTCACAAAGCTGGTATGATTTTTTTTTCTCATTACTATTAACATTTCTTATGGATAGAACTTTTTGAGAAGGCTGCTCAAGTTTCAGTTAACTGAAACATAACTTTTTAAACTAAACCCTGAAGGGGATTTAGGCATAAGTCATGTGTATCAAATAGCAACGTGAATCAGGAAAATAAAAACTACTAATAATGGAAGAGCATAAAGATCCTCTTTCTCTTCCATTAAAAAAGGGTTACTCTGAAGTGTCAGGCACGCTGATGAAGAAGAAATGTGACAACTGTAATCTTATTCTGAGAAGTAGCAAAGGAGCCTTTTGTCTCTCATGGTGCAAAATCTCATACTTCACAGTTTCAAGGCAAAAGAGTTGTTACTATTGAACAGGCTGGATAATTCTTTCAGGGAAGACAATGCATCTCCAGATGTATACACAATGACAATCAACGCACTGAAACATTAACTGGAGTAGCTATCCCAAAGTGCAAAAACTATTCCAAGTCCTCCAGTGCGGTGCAGTGTTTCTTGCACCTGTTCGTTACAGCAAATTGATTTTCAACACTCTCCTTTCTGTTCTTTGAGAAACTATTTCCCAAACATAATCTTCTCTTCCCAGACTTAACTGCCCAATGTGTTATGAGCAGTGGAACAGTTTGCTTTCATCACATGTGCTTTTACACTCAACTTGTCATCTCTCAGCAGTGAAAATTCAATCATTTCTATGTTCTAGAAGCGGTGTTAAAAGCTAAGCAGAGAAGGAGCTTTTCAACTAATTCAAAGACAGTCTAGCTGAAACAAATACTGGACTAACTTGTTGATTAAAAGTTTTAAGAAATCTGATCCCACATTAAGATTTATTTTATTTTATGATTTGAAACCCTTACTCCTTAAACTTAAAAAGTTTTCAGTTATGGCATTTATCTGTGACACTGACAAAATAACTACAGAGTTCATTATAGCATGACACAAGGAGTTAACGAGTTTGTTAATTACTCAGCTATATCATCTAAATTCAGATTGGCCATGCAAAACTTAGTTTTACAAAATAATTTTACCACAATTTTGCCTATCAAGGTCACAAAGTACTGCCAGACTCCTAAAGAAAAAAAAAAATCATTCCTTACAACAGACATTGAAAACACTTGTGTCATATTTCAAGCATATTTTGTTTTGTACAAAGCATTCTGCTTTGTTTGCAAATCTCATTTTGGAAACCGTAAAAGTTTTCCAATTATCCCATTCAAGTGCAAACACAGGTCACCCCAAAGACAGGTGGAAAAGAGACTGCAGAACTGCTTTCCTGCCCATTTCAAAATAAAAATAATGAAACAAAGCCACAAGGAGATACTTAGGACAAGCTAGAGAACTACCATATAGTTTTCCATTAAAACAGGAGTAACCATTGCAACGCTTCCTGCCCTCTTCATGTATTATTTGAAATTCTCTAGCTGGAAAAGGATCTCTTCTATCCTGTAGAGCAGCTACTGGCTTCTTTAAAAGACAAATTGATAATTGAATTCAAATTATTGGCTTGTTTATTTCCACTCTGTGGAAGCCTTCAGATAGCACCACAAAAATGCATGCATAGTAATTGGTTGTATGGCCAGTTATGTCTCAGAAATGCGATTATTTGAGTGCATGAATACAGTCTGTATGTCACAAATACAAATTTTTCTCTGTAAATCCATTTACAGAGTAAAATGCAGGACAAAAACCCACAAACTGTTGAACTACCTAAACACCCCATTTCCTTGCAAGTTCCCATGCACCTGAATTTCTCCATGTTTCCCTTTAACCTGTGCCTATGCTGTGGTCTCCCAAAGTAGCTCATGATCTGGGCATCTCTTCCTGATGGTATGACCTCAGACAAGAACACCACCCAATTTTACAACTGTACTGTAATATCGAGAATAATGCAGTATTTTACTTTGCGCCTTGCTTCGAATTATTTTCAGTAACAGTCAAGTTCTTGCACCATATACAACCAATTACCTAAGAGTTATACAGAGCTCAATCTGTACAAATGTTATTTGTCATGCCATTCAGGCATGCTGTTGTTTCAGTATTCCTGAACTGGAATTCAGTATTCCCTTCAACAGGGTATCATGCAAGATTTTAAATCCATTATTCAACACAGCTTTTAGTTAGGGCCACACTTAAACATGTGCTTCCAGCTCATCAGTACCAGGGAAGCTTCCTATGCACAGACTCAGCTGGAATATCTCAGATGCTTCAGCCCACAAAGTATTTGTCGCCATCCATCTGCTGGATGACTGCACTACTTGCATATCACTCTTCTGCAAGAGTAGTGCTACTCCACACAATCCAGATTTTTGTTCATGCACCCCTTCCTAAAACATAAGCAAGTAGTTCTCATACTGATATCATCAGCCAACTCAGCTTAAACCACCTAAAATAAAAACTTAAAAACATTTTGTTTTGCACAGCATCTAAGTGAAAACAGTGAATGCCTGCAAGTCTGGATCTGCCTACAGAGCATCTGAGCTGTGTAGACAGCAAACCCCAGCAGGCAGACAGCAATGAGCTGCTGAACAGGCTGCAACATCTCCAGTCCCCTCAAGAATTCCTTCATCACTTTTAACTTGAGCCACTACCACACTCATAAAAGCCCACATTGTTCCACACTGCCAGAAACTAGAAATATATGCACTGTACAACCAAGGAATAACACCTGAACCTCCTGAGACGTGACTGTGTGCCGAGAAGCAAGTGCCATACTTATCCATTACTCATTTTGGGGTTGGTTTCCTGGAAAGGGATCTGATTCTTTCACCAGATAACTCAAAACATCACCTGACACCACCCAAAATGTGAGAAATATTCCAAGATACTTCACGCTTCTCTGCTGTCAAATAAAACCCATCAAACATGCTAGAAAACTCGCACACCCCTGCACCTTCTGAAAACTTTGTCAAGAAAGTATGCTTACTTCCCTGCAGTGCAAAGAAATTAATGTTTCACTTTAAGCATGTTTTAAGGATCATACCTCTTAAAAATAAAACAAAAGAGAAACCAGAAAAAAAATCACACACTTCTGTTGATCTGGGCTATCAAACACCACCAGCTGTAGTGCTGACCTATTACCCCACTGTCTAATTTCAGAGTATATAATTTCCATTAAGGAAAAGGCTGAGGAAAGGTGGAGGAAAACAACCACCAAAAAAAAAAAATATTTCCCCATGCAACACAGCACCACATGCTGCTTTCCTGGTAGAGGCACTTGTCTGGTATGAAATCAAAGTGCAGTGAGAGATCCAAGAAAAGGGACAAGAATTCAGTATTAAAAAGGTTCTAAGTAGGTACAATTACTGAACAGAAAGTGATATAAACCAAACACCTAAAGTACGACATGCACATTTTTACAAGCCTTCAAGTTGGTCAACTACAATGGAGATACTAATTCAATGCTTCAAATGCCCTGGAAGTCCCCAGTTCAATGAATCCCAACCTCACCATTAAGAATTTTGTCCCCTATAGATACACAGGGTGCCCACATGCTTTCCTATCTGCTTCCACATTTTCTTCTACTTCCTTATTCTGAAATTACACCTACCTATTCACTACGACCACAGACAGCAATGTTTGTAGGAACCCACTTTTCCACCTGTGTACAAAAGCTGGAAAGAATATGTGCACATTAAAACACACTAGTACAGTAAAGTAATTGTTGGAAATGACAATAACTTTTATAACAGCCTGAAAAATCCCAGCTGACTTAAAAAAAAAGTGTAAAAACTCGTATTGACATCTTCTAGGCACACAAGCCATTTGCTGCATGCCACCACTTCTATTTTTTACTGAATTTTTTGGCATACAGAAAACATGCAAAATTGCATGATAAGCAACCATTTGAGCCAAGGACCATGTTTCCTAAAACAACTCTTTCAAAGTACAGAATCGCAGAATCACTTTGATACCACATATCAAGAGACAGAAGTGAAAGCATGCATTATATTTACACTGTAAGACAAGGTCTATAGATAG